TAAAATGAGATATAAGCTACAGAAATTCTAAAATCATATAAATAGAATTAAAGAAATAAGCAATTTGTCCTGGATATCTCAAAAGAGATTTAGAATAACAATATATAGATGGAGCTGCCGTTTTTCCTAGAATACTTAAATTAGAGCCTCATCATACTATAGTGGTCATACTAATAAATAATTATTAAATGGCTTCAGCTCGCACTCGGCTCAGCATCTGCATGCTCTTCGTCGCTCTTTGAAGTGAAACACGCAGGTTTTAAAATGTTTTACTAATATTCTATAATAAAACATTGAAATCTATTGTTTATTGTTTGGGATGTGTGGCGTCCTTTTTGGCAGCCAATTCCGGCGTACACTTCACTTTGTCGTACGCCATTTGCCAATTTTCCTTGGCGTGCTGGAAGTGGTCGGATTTCGACTTGGTTAATGTGGCCAGGTCCATGCATGGCGTCATTTCAATTGTGATCTTCTGGTGACGCATGCAATTGCCTCGACTGCAGCTCGTGTCCTTGGCATAGCATTTGTCGTGCGGGCCACACGGCGTGGGTATAAAATCACGACCCGTAAACCGCAAAGTGGACAAGGGCGGATTATTACATGCCAGACAGTACGAGGCACAAGCCCAGCCGCCACACATCCTGGTCAATAGATTTTTGTTCTAGCTGGGAGAAGGAAGTGTCATGAATAAACACTTTTTTTTTGTATATATATGCTTACTCTTGAAACTTAAAAATTTTGAGGTGAGCGTTCGGCTCACAACACAAGACCAGACTGCTCATTTTTGTAGGCCTGACAACATTTTGTCGACTTGAATCATATTCCAATAAATTCAAGGCCAGCTTTCTTCAAATTTTCACAGCATCTGTGTGGGCATTGAATGTGTAGTACTCTCACTCACACTCTAAAGGAGTTGAGCATCTTCTTACCCAGTTATCAGTTGGCGGCTAGCCGTCCATGTTAGTTCTGGCGTTAGCCTGTACATTTGTTACCAGCCGCAACCACCGCAGCAACCGCCACCGCAGCAGCCGCCGCCACAGCCACATGCGGAGCAATTGTCACAGATGCCGCAGGGCGTGGGCGCAAAGCAGCGGCCCGTATACCGCACATTGGACAAACGATGAGTGTTGCAGGCAATCGCATATGAAGCACACGCCCAACCGCCGCACATTTCTGTAATTGCTGGAGTCTCGTTGGTCTGGTTGGTCTCGCCTGTTATTATTTTCAGCTGTGAAACTTAAGAGCTGAAGTTTGTTTTTTCGTTTTCGGAAATTTTGTTTGAAAAGCTAACGAACATGGAGCTAAAGCGTGTGCCGCAAAAAATTTGAGTCTAGCTAAAGTTTTGGTGTTGTCCGCACCGAATGGGGAATACGAATGAGCATCCATTTTCATAGACAGAGCTCGTTGCCGTTGCCGGCAGCGTAACTCCGACTGACAGCTGTTGACATGTCCAGCGCCGCCAACTTGGACAATTGAAATCTCAGCGACAGGTCGAGAGCAGGCCGGCCCGGCCGAGCGAGCACTGAAGCAGGCAGGCCAGGACAGGCCAGGACAGGCCAGGACAGGCCAGGACAGACCATTTCGTAAATCTTGCCAAGTCCTGTTGAAATCCACGAAAATCTCGCACATAGCGCACGAGCAGAGAGGGGCAAACAAAAAACGGAAAAATATGCTAAAAACAGTGGCAGCTAAAGTGAAATTAATCCAACGGCTACAGCCATACACACAGTGGTTGCAATTATGAACAATTGAGCAGAAATTTGAGGATTATTTAGCGTTGATTTGCGCTCAAGCAACGTTTGAGATTTTGATTGATTGCCTTTGGAATCTCACAAGTTCTTTTGATGCAATTTTTTTGATTTTGACGTTTAAAGCTATTTTTTATTTTTAATAAAATAATATGTGTATTTATTTAAATAAATACATAATATTATTATAAAGACACATAGGACTATGATAGGGTTAGAGACAAATATTGTTTTAGAGATAAAGCTTTAGAGTCAACTTTCCTTAAATTTAGTTTTTGACAGGCCCCTAGAAAACTTTTGATTAGAGCTTTGGGGAGCATTGCTTTTTACATGTATTTATTTATTTATTTATTTTTTTATTTCTTTTTTCATAAAATAATTTGGGTTTATTTAAATGATTTTCAAACCCTGCCATATTTGTATTTCATTTATTTTTATTTAAAAAAATTTTTGTTTTTATTTTTGTTTTATTAAAATTTAAAAGTTTAAACCAAATAACTATATATCTATCACATCAAATTCAAATAAAACAATATGAAAAATATGATTTTTAATGAGTTTCTTTAATAAACTTACTACTAAAAATACGTAAATATTTAAATGAAGAAGAAAACATAAAAAATTGAGAAAAATGAATTGCTTAAACATTTATATTCGTTTTGTATAACTCAAAAA